AGAGAGAGAGAGAGAGAGAGAGAGAGAGAGAGAGAGAGAGAGAGAGAGAGGTGAAATGGCAAAATTGACAAATGGGTCAAATTGCGGCCGCAATCTATTTCGCAGTTGGGATGATTTTTTAAAATTTATGTAGCGTTTGTCTTGGAAAGATCAGAACAAAATTTACGAGTACTCCAATTTTCAGGTTTTTTCACGCATTCTTCTGAGCGTGAAAACTCACTGAATTTGGAGTACTTTTTTAGTTGGCCCAGGCATGGCTGAGTGGCAAAAATAGAAAATGTGCTGAATCGGCGCGACAATTATTTCGCAGTCGAAATGATTTTTTGTAAATGTTCTATTATTATTTCTGGAAAGAACACGACCTCATCTATGGATTCTCAAAATTTCAGATTTTTGTGCATGTTCGTCTGAGCACAGAAAATCGCCAAAGTTGCCTCTTGCAAAACGCCTGTTTCGTTGTGCCTGACCTCCCTGTTTTGAGAAAACGGGGCTCAACGCCTGGGCCTGAGAGCCCTTTTGCAGATCACATGCCCTCACTTCTTTTTGGGGTCCACTTCTACCCGAGGACCGGTCCAACGCCCCCACTTTTTTTTGGGGTCCACTTCCACCCGAGGACCGGTCCTTCGTTTTTTCAAAAGTCCCGGTTCTACCAGAGCTAGCTGTAGGTAGTCCGCAATTTTGCCAAGGACCGGTCCCCCAAATGTTTTTGCCCCCGAAAAACCCACTTGCGTCCTAGTCGCCCGCCGCCAAAAATGCGACACCTTGACACAGACGCTGAAGCCCACTATACCGCAGCCTAAGGGCTGCGAATTTGCAACCGTCATATTCCAGAATGTATGTGGTCGTCATCGTCGCGATCATCGTCGTCGTGCCACGTCACCATCGTCATGCCCGTTGCCCTCGTTGCCGCGCCGTGCCATCCTCGTCATCGTCGTTGCTACCTCCACGCAGATAAGTAATCGACGACAATTTTCTTTTTATTTTTGTTACTCTCTTCTTCTTCATCTTCTTCTTCCAATTATCTTTTTCTTCTTCATCTTCTTCTTCCAATTATCTTTTTCTTCTTCTTTCTCTTCGTTTTTTTTTTTCTTCTTATCTTCTTATCTTCTTCTTCTTCTTCTTCTTCTTCTTCTTCTTCTTCTTCTTCTTTGTCGTCGTTGTCGTCATCGTCGTTGTCGTCGCGACTCCGATCCCGCTCCCGCGCAACCTCCCCCCCCC